AAGTGCTAGGATTACAGGCGTGCACCACCATGCCCAGCGAATTCTAACCTCTTTGAGCCACCTTATCTGTCTCCCTGCTGCATATAACTCCAGACCTTCGCCTTTGATGTATGACCCCTCTGAACTGCCACTGGCTTTAATGCTTTCTGACCCCTGACCTCTGACCTCTCTCCAGACTGGACTACCTAGGGTACACCCTGACAACCTCACTGAGTTGCCCCACATACCCCGAGCCCAATCTCCAGGCTTCCTGAGCATTGGTCTGTAGTCCTGACATCTGACCCCTGCCTTCTACAGGGTCCCCCAGCTCTGACAGCTGCCCAGGCCTGAGCAATGGGGAGGAGGTGGGCCTTGAGAAGCCCCGCCTGGAGCCCCAGAAGTCTTTAGGTGAGGAGAGCCTGAACCGGGGCTCTGATGTTCTTGGGCCTGGTGACCGTGAGGAGGAGGAGGAGGATGAGGAGGAGGAAGAAACGACAGACCCCAAAAAGCCAACTACAGATGAGGTCAGAGTCACATGTGGGCATGTGGGGGTAGATTTTCTGGTGCTGGGTCTGGCTGTGAACAAGACAGACATCCCCGACTTCCCAGAATTTAGTATATGTGAGCAGGGTGGGAGGTGTTTCTCAGTAGATAGGCCTGGAAATGAGTATACAATTATGCTCATGACATGGGTAAGGGAAGTTGGGGACATAACATGCAAAGGGCCTGAGGCAGAGACAGCATGCAAGAGGAGGTAAGAAAAAAGGGAGCCCAAAGGAAGGAGAGGGTACGTTCCTTCCCTAAAGGGAGGGAAGACAGGCGAGAGCAAAGTGGAGAGAAAGGAGGTAAGAAAAAAGGGAGCCCAAAGGAAGGAGAGGGTACGTTCCTTCCCTAAAGGGAGGGAAGACAGGCGAGAGCAAAGTGGAGAGAAAGGAGGTAAGAAAAAAGGGAGTGTGGTGGGGGATATGAGGAAGTGAAAGTAGCAGGAAAGGTCAGTCGAGAAGGGTGTTGCTAGAGGGCATAGATAGGGTGGCTGAGGTAAGAGCAGATGGCAAGGGCACAGGGCTAGAAGGAGTGGCTGGGGATGGAAATTTGGGCTTGTGTACGTGTGAGTAACTGAACTCCCAGGGCTGGCTGAGGGGTTCCAGCTTTGAGGATCAGAAGGGGAGTGGCAAGGAGGCAAGGGTGCAGGCATGTGGTGCAGTCCGGAAGGCTGGAGGGGCTCCCAGGGTAGGTAGCAACAGAACGGCCAGGGCCGTGGGGCAATAGGCTCCTGTGGAAAGCTGCTGGGCTTGCGACTGTGGGCTGGGAAGAAGTCAGCACCTCCCTCATGGGGACAAGTGAAGGAATGTCCCGCGTGGCTGACCCTGAGTTTGGGGGTCACAGGGCACGGCCAGCAGTGAGGTCAACGCCACTGAGGAGATGTCAACTCTTGTCAACTACATCGAGCCCGTCAAGTTCAAGTCCTTTGAGGCTGCTCGCAGTGAGTGGGCTGGGTGATGGGTGGGAGCTGGTCCTGCCTGGCCCTGCTGGATCTGACCCCTCCCTCTGCTGCCTGCCAGAAAGGAACAAGTGCTTCGAGATGTCCTCCTTTGTGGAGACCAAAGCCATGGAGCAGCTGACCAAGAGCCCCATGGAGTTTGTGGAGTATCCTGTCAGGCACTGTGGGCTGGGGCAGCTGGAGCTTGCAGGTGGTTCCAGTTTCCAAACCCGCTGGAACCTGTGCAGGCGCCTGGCACACAGCACTCAGCCCTGTGGTCAGGGTGGGTCCGGACTGTCGCGGGGGGGTGGCCAGGCTAAGAAGTGGGGTATAGCACAAATGAAGCTTTGCTGGGGGCAGGGGATTCCCAGGAAGGCAGGGCCTGGGCAGGAGAGGGAGACTGATACAGGGTGGGCGATGGAACTTTGTGTGGCCCTGACTGCCAACCTCAGATACAACAAGCAGCAGCTCAGCCGCATCTACCCCAAGGGCACCCGTGTGGACTCCTCCAACTACATGCCCCAGCTCTTCTGGAATGTGGGCTGCCAGCTCGTGGCCCTCAACTTCCAGACCCTGGGTGAGCCCTGACCTGCCTGCCTCTGACCCCTGACCCTCCTACCCCACATCTTACTGACTTCTGACCCATGATCGGGCTGGCTAGTCTTGGCTGAATGGACCTGTGACCCTATCTAATCCCAGATCCTGAATTCAGACCTGGGTGAACCCCAGTGAGACCACTCACTTGTTTGATCTTTCCTGAATTTGGCCCCTTGATGCTAGCTGATTCCACCCCAACCCTGGACCATGGACTCCTGCCCCTTAGTAATCCCTGGTCCTTCACCCCATGGCGATGGCCTACCTACCTTCTGGTCTCAGTTGACCTGACTGACCCTTGCCCTGCCCATGTCACCCCCAGACTTGCCAATGCAGCTCAACGCGGGTGTGTTTGAGTACAATGGGCGCAGTGGGTACCTGCTCAAGCCCGAGTTCATGCGGCGGCCAGACAAATCCTTCGACCCCTTCACAGAAGTTATCGTGGACGGCATTGTAGCCAATGCCTTGCGGGTCAAGGTGGGACTGGAAGAACCTGGGCCAGGGTGTCCTGGGGGCAGGACTCTGAGCAGCTGCTGAGCCTCCTTGGCCCACCTGCCCAGGTGATCTCGGGGCAGTTCCTGTCTGACAGGAAGGTGGGCATCTATGTGGAGGTGGACATGTTCGGACTTCCTATTGATACACGGCGTAAATACCGCACTCGGACATCTCAGGGAAACTCCTTCAACCCTGTCTGGGACGAGGAGATCTTTGAGTTCCCCAAGGTAAGCTAGGGTTTATACTTGCCCGGCCGTGCCTGAGCTCTCAGGTGGGTGACAGGAACCAGGTACACTGGTGGCTGCTGGTGGTGGTGGGGTCAAGGGACCTCCCAGACCCTATGTATCTCAGAGTTAGGGTTCCCTGCCTTCATTTGCCTGAGAGAAGAGGAGGCAGAGAGGGAAGCCAGCAGGAGGGCCCGTTGCCCTCCAGTGGGGAGAGGATATAGCCGGCCCTGTCTCCAGGCTGGAACCACTTGCCAGGGACTAGAAGCCCATGCGTGTGCTGCTCCTGATTCCACAGTCCCATGAGGACTGAGCCTCTGCTCCCAGCCTAGGCTGGAAGTTCTAGTCCCCAGCTCAGTGGTTTCTATAGTTATGAAGCCAACAATAACCTGACTTGTTACCCGGTGGCCTTGTCTGCCTGAGCCCATGGCTGAATACCCTTATGGCCACTGGTTACCCATTGAGTCAGGCTGTGGAAGTATGGGTCAGCTAAATGGAGACAGTGGCTAGTGGTCAGCTTGTCCAAGCATAGCACGGTAGCCCAGTGGCCATGTGTCCACTCCGTGGCTCAGTGGTCTGGGCCCACAGGTGGTGCTACCCACCCTGGCTTCACTTCGCATTGCGGCCTTTGAGGAGGGCGGCAAATTCGTGGGGCACCGGATCCTGCCTGTCTCTGCTATCCGCTCAGGTGAGGCCGTGGTGGGCTCTGGGCAGCGTGGGGGCAGTGTGTGGGGACAAGGCTGGGCCCAGCAACCTCTCCTCCTGCGCCCAGGGTACCACTATGTCTGCTTGCGGAATGAGGCCAACCAGCCATTGTGCCTGCCAGCCCTGCTCATCTACACGGAGGCCTCGGACTACATTCCGGGTGACCGCCAGGGTGAGCTGGGGTTGACTGGGTAGGGCCAGACCGAGGAGGGTGGGCCCTGAGGAGGGTGGCACAGGGGTGGTTCTTTAGTCTTTCAGTTGAGGGAGGACATAGTCTGGAGGCTTCTGTCTCAGCCCCTGGCCTCTGCTCCCCCAGACTATGCAGAGGCCCTGATCAACCCCATCAAGCACGTCAGCCTGATGGACCAGCGGGCCAAGCAGCTGGCTGCCCTCATTGGGGAGAGTGAGGTGAGCCCAGGTGACGGAGGGATCAGGCCTCAGAGATGGGCAGGACTCGGCTTTGCCTTGGTCCTGAGGCCAAGGGATAGGAGTGCTGTGGCTGTGATTGTGGGTCAGGTGGCAGGGCTGATGGGGAGGGCTCTGGCAGAGAAAGGCCTGTGGCCGTCTACTCTCTGCTGCCTACACCTTACCAGTCTCGCAGCCCAACTGTCTGGCTCCCCTTCCCAAGCAGGGCTGGTCAGCGCCTTACCCACCCATCTCCTCTGCCTGTTGGACAGCGTGTCTGCTTTCTAAACTGTCTTGCCCTTGCTGGGTGTGGTGACACCTGCCTGTAATCCCAGCACTCGGGAGGTTGAGGTAGGAGGATTGCTGTGAGTTTGAGGCCAGCCTGGGCTACATAGTAAGCTGAAGGCCATAGTGAGACCCTGTCTCAAAAAAGACAAAAAACCAAAAAACAAAAAACTATCTTGCCCAAACCACACAGTAAAACCAAGTAAATGCCAAGTGCCACTTCTCTGCCAGGCCTGGTGTGAGTTCTTTTCACCTCCTTGGCTCATTGAATCCTCCCAACCCCCAGTTTGGTCCCTCTGTCCCCAGGGCAGAGATGGACAGGAGGCCCCAGTTGCTGTATGAGACTGCTGAGCTCAATGGTCTGGTTGTGCCTCTAGCCTTCATTCCTTGCCTCTTAATGCTGGACTTGTCTGTCACATTGCACGATACAGGGACTTCTGATCACTTGCTCAGTAGTGGGTATGAGATTTGCATATGGTTTTTGTTTTGTTTTGTTTTGTTTTGAGACAGGGTCTGCTTTGTAGTTCAGAGTTTAGGTTGCCCTCGTTTTTTTTTTTTTTGCGGTACCGGGGATCGAATTCACAACCTTGTGTTTGCCAGGCAGGTGCTTATGCCACTGAGCTATATCCCCAGCCCCTAGGTTGCCCTTGAACTCACTGTGTAGCCCAGGTTGGCCTTGAATTAGAGACAGTCCTTCTGCCTCAGCCCCCACTCTCCCCGAGTGCTGGGATTACAGGCTTGCACCACCGTGCCTGCTCCATTCTGTTGTTTTGGTGGTGCTGGGAATTGAACCCAGGGCCTCACAAATGCTGAGCAAGTGCTCCGCCACTGAGCTACATCCCCAGCCCTAGCTGTAGGATCTTAAGGAAATTGAAACCATTTGCACTGGGGAGACCTTCCGGTCAGACTTACGCAGACCTGGACTGGAATTTCTCCAGCTTCAAGTGAGGTCAAAGCTGGGGTACAGGGTACTAGGCCCCTTTGTCAGGGTAATTTGAGGCCGTGGGAGCCTTTCAAACGTGGGCATCTGGCAGCCACGAGGAGGTGGCGGCTTCTGTGGGGAGATCAGGAGCAGAGGTTCTGCCTCATACCCAGACCCAGTCCCTGCGGGGCCTGTGGCGGGCAGCGAAGAGACAACTGCAATTAAGACTGTGCGGTGCTGTTGGCAGGAGAGTCTGGTGCCCACTCTGTGGCCACTTCCTTCGCTGATTTAATCAGGAGCTGGGCAGGGAGGAGGAGCAGTGACTGCAGGCAGAGGTGGCAGACCACAGATGGGTGGATTCTCAGAACCATCTTCGGGTTCCTGAGCCCATGCCACAGGCCTGGCGCCAGACTGTTCCCTGCCCATGTTGGACAGGGTTTAGGGTCCTTATTCTGGACCTCTTCACTCTCTGTGGGTGTCCAAGTGGCCCTGTGGGTGTCACAAAAGGGCCTATGGAGAGAGGTGGCAGGTTGGGGCATCCCTGGGTGACTGGGTGTGGATGGCCCGAAGAAAATGGTGTCTCTGGAAAGACCATCCTGTGTTCTCCCCCACAGGCTCAGGGTGGCACAGAGGCATGTCAGGAGGCCCAGTCCCAGCAGCTGGGCTCCCAGCTACCCTCAAATCCTACACCTAATCCGCTGGACACCTCTCCACGCCGGCCCCCTGGATCGGCCACTTCTCCCACAAGCACCTCCCTCAGCAGCCCAGGTACGGGGTGGCCTGGGGGTGGTAGTTTGAGGGGAGTGGCTCCCAGCATGCCACCCCCTTCTCACTGTGGCCTCTGTTCTCAGGGCAGCGGGATGATCTCATTGCCAGCATCCTCTCAGGTAGGGTCAGGGCCTACTCAAGGTGGGGCTGCCACCTGGAGGGTAGCTGTCCCAGCCCAGCCCACCCACCTCACCACTTACCTTTGCTCTGGCTCACAGAGGTGGCTCCCACACCCCTGGATGAGCTGCGAGGCCACAAGGCTTTGTCGAAGCTCCGGAAGGGGCAAGAGCGAGAGTTGAGGGAGCTGTGCAAGAAGCATCAGCGGAAGGCCATCGCCCTGACCCGCCGCCTGCTCCAGGCCCTGAACCAGGCCCAGAACGCGCCTGGGGTCCTGTGAGTATCCCTGTGGCAACAGACAGGAATGTTGGAGGATGTGTGCACACATGGGTTCTGTGCCCAGTGGACCTGCAGATGGCCAGGGGCTGCTCCAGGGGAGTGTTTGGTGTAGGGAAGGTGTCCCAAACTGTGCCCATTCTTTGCTCTGGAAGTGACGCCACTTTTGAAGTCCCGGACAAGAAGCATTTGTCAAAACAGGATCCCATGATCTGGGTGGCCCTAATGGTGCAGGCCCTTACGGTTTGCATAACAGATCTCACCTGCAGGGTAGTGCCCTAGCCTCTGCTTTCCCACCCAAGGGACTCAGCATCACCCAGAAGGTGCTCTCCATAGGGGCGGGGCCGCTGACTCAGAAGACATGAAGGAGGAGGAAGAGGCAAAGCGGTACCGAGAGTTCCAGAACAGGCAGGTGCAGAGCCTGCTGGAGCTAAGGGAGGCCCAGGCGGATGTGGAGGCTGAGCGGAGGCTGGAACACCTGAGACAGGTGAGGAGCATGGTAGCCAGGGAGCCAGGGATTCTACCATGCTGGTACCCACTGGCTGCCTGTGTTCCCAGACTCAGCAGCGGCTCAGAGAGATCGTCCTGGAAGCACACACAACTCAGTTCAAGAGGCTGAAGGAGATGAATGACAGGTGAAAGCTGAGGATATTGTGTGGGTGGGGCAGGGACTCCTGGTACCTGAAGGACAGGGCCCCCAGTCCTGCCCCTGATCCCTGTTCTTCTCCCCACCCTTCCAGAGAGAAGAAGGAGCTGCAGAAGATCCTGGACAGGAAGCGCCACAACAGTATCTCAGAAGCCAAGACGAGGGAGAAACATAAGAAGGAGGCGTAAGGGTGTTGGGGCTGGGAGCCATTTGAGTGCTGGGGAGGCAGGGCGGTGCCTGGGCACCGAGCCCACCTTTTTCTCCTCCTGTGCAGGGAACTGACGGAGATTAATCGGCGGCACATCACTGAGTCGGTCAACGCCATCCGTCGGGTGAGTGAGGCTCCTGGGACACAGTGGCCTGCCCATTTGTTCATCAGAAACCCACCTCCTTGCTGTCTGGCCTGGAGCCATCTTGTTCCCAAAAGGCTTCTAGAGTCTTCTCCCTGGGCCTTTCTGCACCAGTGCCCTGTGGCTCTGGAGTCCTTGGGCCTAGTCTCTCAACCCTGGGAGCCTTCACCCACCTGGTTTTTGTGCCCAGCCAGAGCCCGAGGGCCCTGGATCCCTCAGCTGAGCCCTTGCCTGCCCTCACAGCTGGAGGAGGCCCAGAAGCAGCGGCATGACCGGCTGGTGGCTGGGCAGCAGCAGGTCCTACAGCAGCTGGCAGAAGAGGAGCCCAAAGTGAGGCTATGGAGGAGGCGGGCAGGCGGTTTGGTGTGTGCAGAGTGGCCTGGCCTCCCTGGGACACTCCTTCTTTTCCCACAGCTGCTGGCCCAGCTGACCCAGGAGTGTCAGGAGCAGCGGGCGAGGCTGCCCCAGGAGATCCGCCGGAGCCTGCTGGGCGAGACGCCTGAGGGGCTGGCGGATGGGCCCCTAGTGGCCTGTGCCAGCAATGGTCATGCAGCCGGGAGCAGCGGGCACCTGTCTGGCGCTGACTCGGAGAGCCAGGAGGAGAACACGCAGCTCTGAACTGGCTGCTCAAGAGGTGGCCACAGAGCCAGGGTGGGCACTGGTCAGAGGGCGGCAGAAGACACTAATGCTTTTTTTTTTTTTTAACTTTTGACCTTTAGAAATTTTATTTTTTTAAACCTGGGGCAATGCCCCATTAACTCCCTTCATCTTCCTGGGGCCTCCTTACCTCCTTCCTAACCTCAGTCCTAGGGAAGGGCCTGGACCAGGCCTCACCCCCCATGATACCCACATCCCAGAATGCCGTTGTTTCCTTCACTTCCCAAGGAATACTGGGTGGAGACTTGGAGCTCTGCGAAGTCTGGGTCACATTCTCTCTGTTGGTTTTTTTTTGTTTGTTTGTTTTTTGTTTTTACATGAATAAAAGTGGATTTCAGGGACCCTGTGTGCAGTGTGGTTTGGAGTGAGGACTCTGGGTCCTAGGTTTGACTCTGCCATTTTCCTCAGGGACCTCAGTTTCCTCATCTATAAAATGGGCTGTGGTCAGGCTCCAAGCCAGTTGTTGCTGGCTTTGAACCTGACCACTTTGCCCAGGGCCTGCAATGACCTCCTCACTGCCACAGGAGGCTCTGGCCAACCCTCTCGGCCTTTCTGCTTCTCTGCCCTCTACCTCTAGTTTGGTGTCGTGGTTTCCCCCTCCCCATGCTTTCCTCCCTCCTGGGCTTACCCTGTCCCCTCTTCACAGAGGCACAGGCAGCTTCAGGAAGCGTTCCCTGCCCCCCTTCCTGTTGCCTGATATGACCCAAGCACCCAGTATCTTCCGCTGGGCCTGCTGTGGGCCCAACACAAGCAACAAGCAGCTGACCATTGAGGGCGGACAGCTGGGTGGAACTGGCCTTCAGAGATAGGTGGGAAGGGGGCCTGCCTGTGACCCCTGGGAGAAAAGTACACAGTGCCAGACTTGGCAGGGCTGGGACAGCCTGCCTCCACCTCATTCCTGTGAGGGAGATGTGCTGCTTTTATAGATGAGGAAACAGGCTCTGAGTGGAAGTCACAAGTGCTGGGCAACAGCTAACTGGTGATGTCCTGACCTGGAGGCAGGGTGGCCTGGACCCTCTATCTTCAGCCAGCCTAGAGGATGTGCTCCATGCTCCGGACCAGCGAGGAGCTGCAGAGACCCCACAGGGAGGGTGTGGCTGCTCTGCAGTAGGGTCAGGCTGGCACCTCTTCAAGGCCTCTCCCTGCTTCCTGGCGCTTCCCAGGCTGGCTGCTCCCTCCTCCAGAGGAAGGCAGCCTCTTATCTGCACTTATCTCCTGCCAATAGAGTGTTTTGCTTTGTTTTTGCTGCAGCCCCAGGCAAAATGGGGTGGAGAGGCCGGAGAAACAGGGTGGCGGGAGTAGGGCCTTCCCAGGCGGGGACTGCAGCCCTGGGCCCTTCCTCACAGTCCCGTACCATTGCCAGGCCTTTCTCTGCCTGTAAGACCTCTTGTCCTTTCCCCAAATCTTCTGGCTTAGTTCCCCACCAGCAACTCTCATCTCCCTGACCGGCTGACCTCCATTTACCCAAACACTCCAGGTTGGTCCTGGGTCCTCAAAACGCAGCATAACTCCAAATTCTCAGCTGTGCCCTTGAGCCCCTCAGAACCCTAGGCCTTGCTGGCCTCCTGTCCTTCCCTGGGTTAACTCTGACTCTGCAGGCCTCACAGTCCGAGCGTCCCCCACCCCTTTCTGGTCAAGTAATGCTGGAGCTCACGATCCGGGGGGTGGTGCTGGTCATCTATAGAACGAGCACAGACCACTGGCCGGGGCTGTGCAGGCGCCAATAAATCTTTTGGAACCCTGCTCGAGGCCTGCTCTAGGGCCCTGTGGAAAACCTCTGTTCCCTAGAGATTGCACCGCCCCCGCCCTGAGTGTCCTGCCAGGTCCCAGCGCAGCGTTGGCCCCAGGCCGGCCACACAGTAGCTGCTTGCAAGTCGCAAAGGCTGACCCAGATCGGAACAAATGACCCCCCCGGGGAGCCCTCTGCACAACGCGGAATTTCAGCGGCAGCCCAGCTGCGGCTCCCAATTACCGTCTTAGAGATAAGGTGCTGGGACCCAGCCGTACCCCTCCCAGAAAGCCAGCAGCCCAGACTCCACTTGCCGCCTCTACCCCTTCCTAGTCTCTGTCCCTGGATGTCACCCCCAAAGAGCCTCCTTTCCCTTATATGTAAAACGGGGACATTTTGAAGCTATCGATGATAGCACTACACCGGTTGATGGGACCCCCAAGCGACGGACGTGACACGGGGCGGCACAGGCCGGTCTTTATTAAGACGTTTGCGGCGAGCACAGGTGTGAAGCATCACCGCAGAAAAGACGCTGGCAGCAGAATGGTTAATCTTAGCGCGCTTCTCGGCGCAGGCGCTGTGGATACCAAGCGCAGTGACTGGGAGACTTCCGGCGGCGGCGCTCGGAACCTTCAAGACTTCCGGGTTCTAACTCAGACCGCTTCCCTACGAAAGGGATAGAACAGATCCTCTCGTGCAAGGCCTGGAAGACTTCCGCCCACACCCAAGAAGGCCGTCAACAGAGACTGGAGTGGGTGGGGTTCCGGGAATGAGGGGCGGAAGTTCACTGGGAGGGGGCAGAGCCTCCTCTCCCCAAGTTCCGATCCCACCAGGACTGGATGGCGCGTGTCCAGTTGGAGCTCTGCCACAGCTTCGTCGCTGTACCCGCGCTCTTCGGGCGAGGAAGACCCTTCGGGGGTGACAAGAGGGAAGGTTTAAGTGCGTTAGCTTATCCTGGCTCGAATCAGGGCCCTTTATTTCCAGAGTCCCAGGTCTAAGTGAGACCCTCGGGGAAATGAAGACCCGTTTCCAGCATGCCCTGTACTAAATGGCCAAGGAAACAGGAGAGGACGCTTAGGCCCTTTAGGAACGGGGCCCAGGGTGAGCCAAAAAACCCCGTGCTGACAGCCGGGAGACAGGACGCCTAGGAACTAAACTAGAAAGGCCAAAGATCTAACACCTAGAAGATGGAATCATAACTCAGAAACTAAAGTGACTCTGAAATTGGGAGTGAAGAGTTCAGACATCCAGAAGGGCCAGCAGATCTCATGCTGTAAAGATCTGGGGAATCCAGGAGTTTTGCCCTGGAGCACGTTTGGATTACAGATCCTAGACAAGCTAGAACTCGGAAGACAGAAGCCGGTGGGAGGAAGGAGTCGTGAGACTACAGGTCCCGGCATGCCCTGGGACTCGGAGGGACGAGGCCTACGTGGGAAGCGCCCCTGGACTACAAGTTCCGGCGTGCCCTGGGACCCGGAAGGAGCAGACTGTGGCAGGCGGCCTGGGACAAAAAAGAGACCGGCAGGGCGGGGGACGCTACAGGCCCTCAGACCTTGGGAGTACATGTCCTGGCACATCGTGGCCCGGCGCTCACCTTGAAGGAGTCCACGAATTCATCGCTCATCCTCCGGAGCTCTCGGCCGTAGCGCTGTGCAGCCCAGAGGTTGGGAGGCGCCGAGCGCGAGCGGCCCCGGAATGGACTGGGCTCCTCCTCCATCCCTTCCTCTTCCTCCATCCCTGTGGGATATGAGCTGTGGCGACTCCGGGTGTCCATAGCCCCAGCGCCTGCAGAAAGGGTCAGGGGTGACAGGAATCTTAACTCTTCTGCGCCCCTAGCTCTGCCGAACCCTTTCCTTAAGTAATTAACTGTCCCTCTAATGTCTGTGCGTACATCCTAACGTCTGTACATCACAGACCACCTCTAACAGCCCAGTTCGCTTCCACATAAATGGAGGGACGCTTGGGGCTTTTGTGAGGAAGAGTTAAATTCTCATTAATCCCACAAATCCCTATTAATGCCAGTAATACACAAGACCTATAAAATGGCGATCCACTGTGCAGGACACAAAATAAAAACAACAAAAAAAGTAATCAACCCGGTGTAATGCACACCTGTAGTCTCAGCACTCGGGAGGCTGAGGCAGGAGGAGTTCCACAAGTTTGAGGCCAGCCTAGGCTACAAAATGAATTTAAGGCCAGCCTGAACTACATGGTCAGACCCTGTCTAAAAACAAAAACAAACAACAAAATAGTTGTAATCATTAATGTAAGTCGGGGCCTCACAGTAACCCCTGCATTGGGAAGTGTCCCTCCCACTCTCCAGGTGGCCTGCAAGGCCCCTGCGGAACAAACTGGCAGCAACACTTCCGCATCCCCCAGTGCCCCTGCTTTGGAATATCCAAAATTGTTGACTTTTTTTAGATTCCATTTCTGGACCACTTCCTATGTACTAGGGCTTAGGCACTCCGTCATCTCCTCCTAACTACCCAGGGAGCTGAGTACTGTACTACTATAGCCTCCACTTTACAGATGAGAAGACAGAGGCTTTGGGAAGTTACAACTCAGGGTCACACAGCTGTGAAGCCCTAAGACTAAAAGTTCCCAGGTTTGGTGGAATCCGTTGTCTATGAGGGCTGTGAACTTTTTCCCTTGACCAACATCCTTCAGCTCCCTACTCCAGGTTTATCCCTTATATGAGGGGATAATCCCAGCCCTTGGTGCCAGGGGCATGTAAAGGTCACATCGAATAGAGTGTAGAAGATGTGCTGTGGGAGCTGCAGGCTTCCTGCAGCCATAAGCACTTCTCTGTGGTCTGCTTGTCTCAGCTGTGTGCCATCCCTCACTTTACCAGCAGCACCCCACTGCCCAGACCAACGAAGACCTAGAAGCACTCCTGGGAGCACAGAAGCCAGAGACACAGTCAGGTGTGTCTTGTAGGGAAGGCTTTTTGGACAAGGTAAGATTTAGGCCAGGCTTTGATGCCTGGGGCTAACAAACGAGTGTCCTCAAAGAAGCAGAGGCAGAGCCCTGCTGGTCAGCTGCGGAGTCTCCAAACATCTCAACTCTAGAAAGGCCTGACTTAAGACAGTGTGGGCACAGTGCCCCCACTCAGGTGGGGACACTGCAAGCCCTCCAGGGGCTGCTGGCTCCAGCTTGGTAGACCCAACCATTTCCACGTTCCCACTTTATGACCTCAGGCCACTTCTCCAAGCCCCGGACACCTCAGTGTCTTTCTCTGTGAAATGAGCAGTCTCTGTCTGCCAGTATTACACAGTTAAATTAGGCAGAAATATTATAGACAGTCAGACAGGGCTAAGTCCTCAAAGGAGTCAGTGCAGAAGATGAGAACACATCAAAACTGTGGCTGGAGGCACATCTGATTAAAGGCACAATGGCCAGATGTACATACTTCCCTAAGGGATAAAAGCTTGAGATTACTGGTACCACCTTTTTAACATCTCCCATAGAAACATCTATCTCATTAGGGGTGGGCCATCTTCTCCCACCCTCTAAGACTAAGACTACTAAAACAAAGACTAAAGACAAGACTAAGACTATAGCCAGGTGTGGTGGCGCACACCTGTAATCCCAGTACTCGGGAGGCTGAGGTAGGAGGATCGCTGCGAGTTTGAGACCAGCCTGAGCTACAAAGTGAGCTCAAGGCCAGCCTGAACAGCATAGTGAGACCCTGTCTCAAAAAACAAAACAAAACAAAACAAAAACTAAGACTACAGATTATCAATCAAGATTAATGATAACATCTATGTACAGCTGCTAAGTGACCTTCCTCATTGGATCAATATTACCTAAATGGCTATACTTGTAATCTTATTGGATGATCAGGTTTTTTTTTTTTGGGGGGGGGCGAGTATTGGCAATCAAATTTAGGACCTCGGGGCTGGGGATTTAGCTCAGTGGCACAGCGCCTGCCTGGCAAGTACAAGGTCATGAATTTGATTCCTGGTACCAGGAAAACAAACAAACAAAAAAAACAACAACAAATTTAGGACCTCAAGATTGACAGGCAGGCGCTGTGCCACTGAGCTATATCTCTGGCCCGTAGTTGTTTGTTTGTGTTTTTTTGGAGACGGGGTCTATGTAGTTCATGCTGGCCAGGCTGGCCTCGAAACTGTGGTGATCTTCCTGTCTCAGCCTCCAGAGTGCTGGGATTATAGGCATGTGCTATTGTACTTGGCTGGTTAATCATAGTTTGACTCACACTGTACCCACCTCATGATTTTGCTCTATAAAACTTCCTTTGAGAAGTGGGCTCATTGGCAACCCACTTGGGTCCCCTCCTGTCTCTCAGGAATTATTCCAATTCCCCAATAAATTTTCCTACTGTTAACCTCTGTTGCTCCTTAGAATTTATTCTTCGACTCTGGGGAACATGAACTCGGACTTGGTGGATCGGACACCTAGCAGGTTTGGAGTCACATTTATTTCGTTTGCATAGTTTGGAGGTCCTGCATCACCAGCACCACTGTGTGAAAAAACAAGTGCAGGAAAAACACCCTACCTTTTGTATCTTTAGGCCTCCCAGCTCTCCAGAAAGGTGGGCACCAAATTCTATTTTGGGAGAGGGAAACTGAGACACAGGGTCTCATTATGTATTCCAGACCGGCATCCAACTCACAGAGATCCTCCCAAGTGCTGGGAATATGGCTAAATTCCCCCTATTTAACAAATGAAGAAGTAGAGGCATTGAGAGGTTAGGAATTTGAGTAATGCAGCAGAGGACCCTGGCTGCCATCCTGCTGCTTGGGAAATGTCAGCTGATCCCTACTCGCTCTGAGAAGCCATTTGACACAGGCAAGGCCCCCATGGTGGAAGCTGAGTGACTTACAGGTGGGTACCTGCTCTGGGTACTGTCCCACATGCAGAAATGTAAACAAACAGACAGGGCTGGGAGTGGCTCATCAGTAGAATACTTCCCTGGGGAGGTCCCCAGCACCGAAAAGCAAAATAAACAATGCATTAATTCATTTCATCCTGACCACATGCTATCAGGGAGGTTACTCATGGTTACCATTTCATGGAGGAGTAAAATAAGGCACAGAAAGAGTAAGCCATTTGCTTAAGGTCACAAAACAAAACTAGCACATGACAGAGATGGGATTTGAAACAACCAGTCTGTTTTGTTTTTTTTTCCTTCCGGTACCAGGAATTGAACTCACAACCTTGTGCTTGCCAGGCAGGTGCTGTGCTGCGGAGCTAAATCCCCAGCCCCAAAACAACCACTTTGTTTTTTTGTGTTTGTTTGTTTTTTTGTGGTTCCAGGGACTGAACTTACAACCTTGTGTTTGCCAAGCAGGCGCTTATGCCACTGAGCTATATCCCCAACCCTGAAAAAACCAGTCCAGTTTAACCTGCACAGCAAGACCCGGTTCTCAAAAAGACAAAAAAAAAAATTAAAAAAATTAAAAAAATAAAAACCAGTCTGACTCCAGCTACTTACTACCTGCTTAACTCAAGCCCAAGGCACCCCGGGGTCCCAGTTTGGGGAAAGACTCCCCCGGGCCCCCTACTGGTCAGCTCTGCCTGAGCCTGTCCTATGAGAGGAAGACTTATCACCAAAGGCTTGGATTTAGCAATGCCAAGCCACCCCACTATCAAAGTGACACTCACCTTGTTTGCAGTTCAGGCTGGCCTTGAACTCATTTTGTAGCCCAGACTGGCCTCTGCAGGCATATGCCACCATGCCTAGCTGACATTCATTTTGTAAACTGAATTTTTGATTTGTTTTTTGAAACAGGGTTTGCTATGTAGTTCAAGTTGCCCTTAATCTCATTATGGTGCTCAGGCTGATCCTCCTGCCTCAGCCTCCCCTAGTGCTAGGATTACAGGTGTGTGCCACCACACCCAGCTAAACTGAATTTTTATTTTTTAGATTTTTTTGGAGACAGGGTCTCGCTATGTGGTTCTGGCTACCTTTGAACTATGTATCCCAGGCTGGCATCCAACCTGCAGTGATCCTCCTGCTTCAGCCTCCTGAATGCTGGGATTACAGGCATGGAATACCATGCCCAGCTAAACTGAATTTTTTTTTTTTTTTCCGGTACTGGAAATCGAACTTACAACTTTGCACTTGCCAGGCAGGCACTATGCTGATGAGCTAAATCCCCAGCCCCTAAACTGAATTTTTAAAAGTATCTTTTTACTGGAAAAAAAGCTAAAGGATTTTCTGTGAACTCTCTAGGGGAAAGGGATAGGCAGGGTGTAGCCATCCTGTCCCCTCTAGGGGAAGAAATAGGGCATGGGTCCTCTCTGGTATGAGCCTGGGTGGGTACCCAGGCTGCCACTCATGCCACCCTCCCAGAGTCTGGCCTGGGACTCAGGGAGTGGGAGATGACTATGGCCAGCTGTGCCAAGACCTACCAAAGCAGCTATATTTTTCAGTTCTTTCCCCACCAGACTTCTGAGTAGCAGTCTGCAGCTGAACACATCTTTTAGAGAATCTTTTAGAGACCGAGAGCCAAACTGCAACCCAAAACCCACTTATTTATTGCCAAGTGCCAACCCTGCAATTAAGCCTGAATACTGAGATTTTAGTTTAGAAAAAAACTCATACATTAACATGTTTTGTCTTAAAAGAAAAGCAGCGGGGCCTGCTGGTGAATGCCACAATGCAGGCTGAGGCAGGAGGATCCCTGTAAATCTGAGGCGAGCATGGACTACATAGTGAGACCATGTTTCAAAAACAAATAAGAAACTACACTTCAAAGCAGTGAGTCTTTGCCATCAGCCAGGGCAGATTGGATCCTGCCTCTGTCACATGCAGGCCA